TACTGACCAACCAGTCGGTATGCTGGTATGGGAAGCGAAACTTGGCGCACAAACCAAACTTGAACTATCAGTGTATCATTGTCATTAATAAGGTTTTTAAGGTGTCAGTTCAACAAAGCTGTGCAGCCGGAGATGGGGAGCTAGGAGTCGTCGAGAGGATAAACCAACAAAGCCTTGCCCACTGGATGGCTTCGGAATTAACGCTTTTGATTATCTTAAATTTTAGTGGGTTCCATCATATTTAACGTCACACTCAACACGCTTGATGGTTTTCTATCAGCAAGAGAATTAATGTCAACTCTACACTCCAAATTACCGGGGCCTATCTTTAGTGTTGTCACATGTAATGGTTCCCACATTCAAATTGACACGGTAAGCATTATGCGAAGACCACAAACCCGGAGTTTTAAGCTTTATGTAAGTAGTTTTTCAAAACCGACGGCCAGCGAGCAGCATAGAAACTCAGCAAGTTTGGTCCTTGAAGGACGAAGTTTCAGGACAATGAGAAATAGCTTCTGTTAGTTGTCTGTTGGCTCGCATAACCGATTCATCACTCAAGAATTGTCTCAATCAAATTAAAATCGTTTGGCACACTGTACTTACCGAGTCTGCGGGGGTCTTGTAATTACATTATCAGTCACTTCTTGGGCTGAACGTGGCCACGGGGATTCCCACAGTCGGACTTCAATCTGTAAGCCACCCGCTCTACCTTCAAGATTAGCGTTCGCTTATGCTAGCTTGCATGTGTTAGAGAACTGTACGCAGCTTGGCTTCTACAACGCACTGCAATGTTCTTTGTGGTCCGAGTTAATCATTTTCCTGTTTTATGAGTTTCAAAGATTAGATATAGTGAGATTTCCTTCTGGAAACCCTGCAAAACCTCTCCATTAACAGTTAGTTAACTGATTCCATTCCATTCGCTTTTGGTTACGGACGCGAAGCTACTGTTAAGAATAGAGGAGATGCGAAGGTACTACATAGGCAAAATCAAGGTACATATACGGAAATACGATTGGTGCGGGATTGCAATCTACACATTTGGCTTGATGAGCGTCCTCCATGCCAGGCGAAGGTCTATTTCAAGCGACAGCCGTTTGTGATGGTGACATTTTTAATAGGGAGCATCAGCAGTCTAACGTAGGCTGCAGTGCCACTGGCAATTGTATTTGTCACTTAGGCGAGGAAGTATCCGCCACTAATTTTCAATGTTATTTTTTACAGGCACATATCCGGATGAATATATTGTTTGGTGAAGAATGTGAAAAGTCCCTGGTGAAAGACGGGTGGGAGGAGCCTTTGTGTCGGTGGTATATCATATCTGGAACATCTAAAGTATCCCACACGCGAGAATGGTGTGGGTAAATGAACAGTGTCTGGGACGGGTGTGCTTTAACATCGTGCAAACAGGTAGTCCGTGTTAAACAACTCGATGAAGATTTCGATAATGGGCTTCAGAAACAGTTTCAACTGAGTCGTATAGATTCTCTCTGCGTTGGCATACAGTCTTGCTTATTGCGCATTTAGATTAGTAAGGAATGTCTGATCATTCAGACGGGTGCTGGCAATCAGTCGTAATCCAGGCCCTTTTGTTCTAGTCCAAGGGAGTCGAATAGTTGTCATTCAAGTCTTATAAATGTCAAATATTGCGACTAGATATGAGGAACCATTGGTACTAATCGGAATTCAAGGGACTGGAAGACTTAGGCATTCTGTCAATCTTCTTAATCATGTAGCCAATCGGATCGGCTGGTTGTTCAACAGCCATTTCAGAAATAAATTCCTAACCAGAGGAGAGGTTTAAATTGTAAATACAGGCTACCTTAAAGAGCGAAAGAATGCGGTGCTTCTGCAAATACACCTCCGATTTTGTCTTCGGATTGTCCGTAGAGTGAGTAAATATCATATTATCTGGGTCTGTTTGCTGGTCTGACTGCATTCCGTAGATGAAGTCCTTCCTGTCAGAAACGGCAACAAAAATATTACATTAGTAGCGGGTTTAACAGATGTAAGTAACTTATTTGACCCACTTGTGAAAAAGTAGTTGCGACTCGAACCCACGGCAACAACGCTCCAGCCAACTAAGTTACGAAACCCCCACTTTGCAGTAAATTAACCCAGGTGTGATTAAATCCACGGTTTTCGGCGGAGGCCTCGTTGGTCGTTTGACTGACGCCTTGGCCTACTCCTTGCTGCCGTGGGTTCGAATCCCACCGAGGTCGCCGATTTTTCCAGAAATGAAAATGTTGAAGACAAAAGTAACAAATTCATGCGAGCGCAAGGACCACCCCCCTGATGCAAAAGTGGATTAGTTCTCTAAATGCACACCTGCGATCGAAATGCGTGTATGAGGTTATCGGATCGCCCCTGGAGCACCCGGTTAGAATGCCAATGCGCCCTACAGCTCATCAGGAAATGACTGTGGACTGAGAAAATGTAGAATAACTGAAGATCCTGGAGAAAATTAGTTCTTCACGTTAAATGGGATGTTCCAGAGCACGTGGCAACCATGCGTCTTGATTTTACGACCAATTACAATTAACGAAGTGCAACCAATTGCACTTGACCTCTAAGTCTCATATGCGAAAATAAGTCTAGACAGAAAGACATTACCGACAAAGGGGGTTCCAGCTACGGGTGTTGAAATACCGGAAGTTGGGTGTGGCTGGCTGATGATGGCAGTTAAGCCCGAAATTGCTATTCCAGTCTCCCTTGTCTTTTTCGGTAGTGTTCTGCCTCTAATATACTCGTAGCTGAGCGACTGCTGGTGGGGAGTGTTCGTTCGTCGATCGTACTTGTGTTGTTAATTACGCCTCTCAGTCAAATATGTACGCTGAGCCGAGAAACCCGTTATCATATCGTTGACCTTTGTCCAAATCTAAATACAATGCAAATCGCTACGCCATGCTCACACTCAGTTGTCATAAAGACGACTATGGAATAGGCATTTCAAGCTACGAAAAGAGCATCCGTTTGTTGACCCGCGTTGAGTCTGTGTCAGCCGCTAACTATTGTCGTATATGCATACGGCTCACACCAATCGGAGGCTGGCGCCACATCAGTCGCCGCGCGCAATCTTATCATCATTCGGTTGAAGAGTTTGGACTGGCTCCCGGTGCGTGAAAGGAGGAAGGGGGGAGGGGTGGGTGTGAAAGAAGTCAATATTGACGAACCAGCGCACTCCTAACTGGCATCTTACGCATTTAGAATTATAACGGTGTGCTTATGCCCGCGGTCTGCAAGACCGCCAACTACCAAGTCATCTCAGTCCTCCATCGAAAGGAGCGTTCTGTCGCAATAACCTCCCCTGTGATATGCGAACTCTAGCATAGCGCGCGATAGAGGCCAAATACACACCACCTCAATCACTGAGCCCATCACCGCTTGTGGCTGAACAAGCCACAGGTGTACAGCAGAAGAATTAGGGACAGGGGAGTTGATCCAGCGATTAGATCCCACCGCGAAAAGCCAAG